AACTTCCAAAAAGCGGTTTATTGTGCGTCCCGGAGTGAATTAGGATAGTACGAACAGTAAAGCGGATGTTGTAAATTAGCAGTATCAGAAGATATTCTCAACAGGAAACAGCCGGCAGATGCTTGAGGCGTTGCACTGGAACACGGAAGATGATCAGGCAAATTACAGTAACTATTGTATGTATACTTGGATGAAGACGATGATTGGGAGACCCACCACCGAACTCGACCGCAGGGCCAGAACGACTCTGATGGCAGGAAATAGAACGAATATGATGTCGGGAAACAACTGGCGCGGCTGGATTGAGTGGCTCGAGGTCTCCCATAATGCGACAGGCAGTGCGTTCTGGTTTACACCGTTCCAATTCACAACGCAGCATCCAATTCTGAATCAGCATACTGGGCCTAGCCCGGAGATGAGAGTTGAGAACTCGGAAGCTCCCGGAACAGGAGAGTTCGTCATTGGAGTAGGCGTGTTCGAACCTGGCATCCACATTTTTTTTTAAATGTCTTGAAATTCACGGAACAAAATTCCTTTCGGCCATGTATCCGATGTAAGAGCAACTTCGTGTAGTTTGGGAGCCAATCCGACTTTATACGAGATGAAGCTCATACGGCTGATGTCGGATACTTTTTTGACTAGTGGCTCAACCTTAATCGGATCATCGCACTGTACACAACCTTTGACCAGCTTCTTGATTGATTCCGATTTCACGCTAGGATGTATACGAGAAAGGTACAACCAAATCAGCTCGGTGGGTTCAGGGACAGTAAGGACCTCGATAACGACATTGTCATCCGTTACTGCTTTAGTACCACCAACAAGAGGTTCCCTAATAAAATGGTTATGGTTATTTTGCTTAACGACGTGTTCAGAGTAGCATTCAAACCATTTGTGGAAAAGTTCAATCGTTTGGGTTATCATTCGGTTATGGTATTTTTATTAGGGTTTGCTGGTGAGCGAGCCTTTATCGCGGCGCCGTTTTAATGACGGTTCTTCTTCTTTCCTTTATTTAACGTTGGTCTCTGTTCCGCAATCTAGTGCCAATCACCGACGGACGGAAATGTGCAGGAAGGCAGCTTCCACGCCTGCGTAGGATATCGCACTAAAGAGACTGGATTGGGTAAAGAGGCGACATCTTATCCATTTGACAGGTCTTCTGCTCGATTGGAATAACTTTTCCTATGACTTTGACAGATAATCGATTGTTCCAATTTTGACATGTCGTCTCTTTATAAATTTAGCCTCTTTAATCGCACCCATTCAAAAACACATGGGCCGGGACCAACGGTTTTTCTTCCCTTCCGAAGGAAGACGTGACCAGAAATTTTTATGCCTCAGAAAAATTCCACCGACCTCGGCTTGGTTGAACCCAGACCCATTGGGGTGAGAAAGCAGTCACGCTTACCACTACACCACCGGCGCCGGCTTAATGGCGGCTGACGCATGAGATCGCTGGAACCCAAGTGTGTCGGAGTTGTCAATGCGATTCGTTTCAACAGCTGAGCTGCTGAGCCATTTTCTTCCTACGCTCAGCGTGTGCGATTTCCTATGCTCGCCTGGATAAGATCGGACAATAGACGTTATCGGAGGTTCGTCGCTTGCCGAGTGGGGGAGATTTTGGACAAAACGGATGGTGAAGACTGGCGCTGGATCCCCTCGAAACAAAACGGGCCGATGAAGCGACTAAGTGAAAAAAGGGGCCGTACCTCGGCTCCGAAGCCAGTTGGGTCCAAGGTCCCGAGTTTCTACGTCGTCCGGAAGGAGAGTGGCCGAAGAAGAATGCAGCAGAACCGTCGAAAACCACTGAAGAGTTACGTGCTTGCCTTGTTCATCGAGAGGTTGTGATGGTTGTGATGGAACAGTTGGTGAATTTCAGTCGCTTCTCCAAGTGGGAACGTCTGTTAAGAGCCGTGGCATACGTTATTTGAGTCCTGGATAATGCCCGTCGTCGCAGATTGGGGCAACCCAAGAAAACAGGAAGCTTGTTGCAAGACAGTCGGAAGCAGCTCTTTGGTGTCTAGTACAAGCCGAAGCCTACCCGAATGAAGTCGCCGTGCTGCTCTGATTAGGGATATTGATAAATCAAGCAAGATCTACAAGCTGTCACCGTTTACCGACGAGAGAATGTGTGTGTCGGGTGTGTCGTATGATTTCAAGTCAAATTTGTTGGATCGTTGAGTTTCGTTGTTTGGTCGTCAAGGATGTCATTCCAGCCAAGTACTTTGACTTGAACACCATTTTTCACATCAACCCTTGTGGGCTGTTCATCATTGGTGGACCACAGGGTGCCGCTGGCCTAACTGGTCGTAAGATCATCGTAGACACTTATGGAGGTTGGAGCGCTCACGGTGGTGGTGCCTTCTCGGGCATGGACCTCACAAAGGTCGATCGCTCGGCTGCATATGCGGCTCGTTGGGTGGCCAGGCCAAGTCGTTGGTGAAGGTCGTTGTTTGGTGCAGGTTGCGTATGCAATTGGACTCGCTGAACCACTTTCGATCACAGTATTCGACTATGGAACTTCCAAATACAGCCATAAGCAACTACTAAACATTGCACAGTGGTCCAGAATGCAGATTTAGGTGGAATGATATGTTTTGAGCCTGAAATTGAAACTTTAGACTAAAAGTCTCTTCTACAAAGTTGTTCCTTATAGTTAGGCCCTGATTTTTATGACAATGAATTCTAGGGTGGTTCCTATTATCATTAAAATCAAAAATCTAACTTTTTTGTTTGAATAAATAAAGGTATACATTTTTCGGCAAAGTTAAAGCTGAGCTAATTTCAAGCAACTTTGTTGAAAATAACTTTTTTGTATCTCTTAAATTGGCCGATTTAGAGCTATTTTCTTGAATTGAGTTAGGGTGGCTCTTAAAAAACAGTTTTGTTGCTCTATTTTTCTTATTTCGAATTTCTCAGCAAATGTGTCTTTAGATAACTTTTAGATCTTAAAAAGGCGCAAATTTTTGTTGCACAAAGTTTGTCGATATCTTTCGCCGATCAAGAGTTATTGGCGTTTTTATACTAAAAATATGCACTTTTCAAATGTTAATATCTCTGGTTGGGGCAAACAAAAAAAAAGTTTTCTTACGGCATTTGAAAGGGCGTATGTTATTCTCAAAAATATGACAAAATTGGAGGTATGTTATTTTTTAAACTCGTATGAAATCAATTTGAATTTATTCATATTTTTTACTATATTTGGGTATATCTTTTTTATTAGAAGAGATACAGGCAACAAATACAGGTATAAAACATTCGTCTTAAAGAGTTTTAAAAGTCTCTAGAAAATAACTTTCATGATAAATTTCAAATAAAAAAGTTATTGACAAAAGATGGATTTCATAGGACCACTCTAATGACAAATTTATACAAAATGTGCTAGTACATTTGTTTAAATATTTGGACATTAAGTGTCTTCGAAAAAGTTTTTGTTCTTAAAAATTCTTTTGGTGTTTGCAAACGTCAGGGTGGTCCTCAAATTAGGGAATTTTTAAAACTTACTTTTTTGTTTTACAAAATAAAAACATGTGTTGTTTAAAAAGTTGTAGTTAAGATAATTGCAAGCAACTTTGTCGAAGAAATTTTTTTTTTTATCTCTTAACGTTCTCATTTTAGAGTAATTTTTCGGAGTTGACTTAGGGTGTTCCTGGAAAAAATAGTTTTTTAGCAATAAGTTTTTTATTTGAAATTTCTCATGAAAGTTATCTTCTAGAGAATTTTAAAACTCTTTAAGGCGAATGTTTTATAGCTGAATTTGTTGCCTGTATCTCTTCTAATAAAAAAGATATACCCAAATATAGTAAAAAATATGAATAAATTCAAATTGATTTTATACGAGTTTAAAAAATAACATACCTCCAATTTTGTCATATTATTGAGAATAACATATGCCCTTTGAAATGCCGTAAGAAAACTTTTTTTTTTGTTTGCCCCAACCAGAGATATTAACATTTGAAAAGTGCATATTTTTAGTATAAAAACGCCAATAACTCTTGATCGGCGAAAGATATCGACAAACTTTGTGCAACAAAAATTTGCGCCTTTTTAAGATCTAAAAGTTATCTGAAGACACATTTGCTGAGAAATTCGAAATAAGAAAACTAGAGCAAAAAAACTGTTTTTTTAAGAGCCACCCTAACTCAGTTCAAGAAAATAGCTCTAAATCGGCCAATTTAAGAGATACAAAAAAGTTATTCTCAACAATGTTGCTTGAAATTAGCTCAGCTATAACTTTGCCGGAAAATGTATACCTTAATTTATTCAAACAAAAAAGTTAGATTTTTGATTTTAATGATAATAGGAACCACCCTAGAATTCATTGTCATAAAAATGAGGGCCTAACTATAAGGAACAACTTTGTGGAAGAGACTTTTAGTCTTAAGTTTCAATTTCAGGCTCAAAACATATCATTCCACCTAAATCTGCATTCTGGACCACTGTGCATTGGCTGAACGAACTTTGATCTGCGTCCGGAAAAAATTGTCAAGGATCTTAATCTGAAGGCACCATTTTACCAGCGTACTAGCACATATGGACACTTTGGACGGGAAGGCTTCCCATGGGAGGAACCCAAGGAATTGGTAATGAACCACTAGCTTCGAAAAAGGCCAAGCAACGTCTTTTTTCTGAGGTGGATCCGAACGAAACTCAATGATCCAAAAAATTTGCCATGGATTATGATATATTAATAGCACTATTCCAATAAAATTTTACCAAAAGAATTATGGAGAGCAACTTGAACGAATTGCAACGAGAATTAATAAGAATCAGCTGATAATTTTAGATTAAATTTCAAGAGCTTTTTGCAACGAATTCCTAGAGTAAAGAGAACGACAGTTTTTTGCATCTGCCAACCTGTGTGGTATTTCAATCGCTGGGAAATTAGCAATGCTTTTTGACGCTTCCATAACGATAAGCAACATTAGCACCTTTCCACAATTGAAAACAAAACATCAAACAAACAAACGCTAGAAATCCATTTTCAAACATGTACTCACATTCAATCGCTTGATTTTCTGTCTCAGCTTGATAACTTGAGATTCGGCCGTGGCTGCTCTTAGCTGAAAATAGAACGAACCCAATCAGAACTTCTTCGGCATACTCAATCGCCTTAACTGCTACTACACTCACATAACTTTTGTCTAAGTTTTCCTCGATCCCCTCGACGGTCTGGGCCAACGTGGCACTGCTCTGGGCTGTCTCCACTGATTTTTCCAGATCCTTTATCCGGCGGGCTTGTTCCGCTATAATCCGACGGTTGTCCTCGACTTCGCGCCTCAGACGATCGTTCTCTTGGCGTTCGATCTGTAACCTCTGCAGGTGATGGCTGGCATCGGCATCCGGTGAATTGAAATGTGGTGTATCATGCGTTACATCCGCCAATCGGCCAGAAGAATGGATCGGACCGTCGGAAAGAAAGTCCGGTAGGCGATGGATTTTGTCTGCGGCCGATCCCGACGGCGGAGGTGAATGGTTGCGATCCATATCGGAAAAATAAAATCCAGATCGGGGCCCGGTGGCGTTGTTATCCGTGAGGTCTGGAGGAAGTTCCGGCGGAGGAGTAACCCGTCTCCGGGGCAGATCAAAAGAAAAATCCAAATTTTGAGGCGGAAGATCTAAAGGAACATTCGGTGAAGTGTTGCGCAGTGGAGTACGATTACGGTTTGCAGAATTAAGACCACCGGATGCAGCACTCCCTCCACCTCCCGGTGCGGAGTTGTACGTTAAATCGAATGGTATATCATTGATGACCGAACCATGACCTCTACCTTCCGGGTCGAGATTGTTGACGGCAAAATCTGGAAGCTGATCAAAATCGACCGACACTGGGGAGACGCTCTTCGGAGATCCTAAAGTGTACCACTGCTCCATGACCAAATGATCCTGAACAAAGTCTGGTAGGGCCGCCGAGAATTCCGAAGTGCCTAATCGGTGAGCCGACGAGAGGTTTTCGCGACTTCTTCCTCCAAAATTTGGCGAATTGTGCAGATTTTGCGACCCAGCCAACCGCGGAGAGTCTGCCGAACCAGGACTTTCCATGTCGTAATTGGAATACGAACGCTGAACATATTGCGATCCCGCGGAGGTCGATCCACCCCCACCTATCGGGTAATCCGAATTGAAAGAGTTATTGCTACGACTATGGTAGATGTTTGCCATGAACTTATCGTCGGCCAAATCCGACAGACTGGACTGTGAATCAAAGGACGGAAATCGCGGCGACCTTTTCATTTTGGATTCGCTGCTCAACGTATTCACCGACTGGAACTGAGGAATTTTCGGCTTCGCTCCTGTCGTACTTGTATTGTGCAAGGAACTTGTTGTGGCTGATTTCGATGGAGAAGCTGCCGCATTACTATTTCCGGTACTGCTGTGGGCACTGCTAGTGCTGACATTGTTGTTGATGAAATTGTTGCTGTTGTTTATAGCATTGCAACTAGAGCTTCCGGTGTGGTTATTTCCATTGATATTGGAAGTGCTACGACTGTGATTGATGTTGGTTCCGCTGATCGTGCTAGATGAAGTAGCTGCTGAGCCCAGTGATGAATCTCGCTTCAGAAAGTGTTTGAACGAAAAAGGATTCTCCTCCCGACGTGGCAGCTCGGGAATAGCTGTAAACATGTAAAATTTTACTAGCACTTCACTTAAGAGATGTGTCAACAAGTACCTCTAGTCATACCTCCTGCTTCCGGATCTGCGGGTCCAGAACTGCTACCAGTTGATCTCTGAGAGCTTAACGTCGACGATTGCTGCAAGTCACTGATGGCAGCGTCTGAATGTGATCCCAACACCCCATTCGTTCTTCCTCTACTGAAATTGGACTGTTGATCGGTTGTCGTGGTTCTACTGTTTCCCTGTTTCAGCGCATCGCCAGAGGAACCACTTGCTCCGCTTCCACTGGAGAGTTCGTCCGCTATGTTGATATTGTTGTTATCCTTCGCCATACTGCCGAACCGGACGGATTTCACTTCCTTCCTCCTGCTATCGATTCCACAACTTTTTCTTTCACCTTATTTGCACCCTTTCCGAAAACAGACGTCGCACTTTCGCTAATTTTACAAAACTGCACTATATTGGAAGCTATTTCGACAAAAGGGGAGACAAACACGTAATTGCGAATTGACTGTGGCTCTACTTATTTGCAGAGCAGCGACTCGCTACCGGACTAAATTCACTGAATACACAATTTGTCTTCGATGTACACTTCCTAATACGAAAAAATATTTAACAAACACGTAATTTTTCCACAAATTTTAACGCTGCCGTTTTCTTTTTGTGTTGAACTTGGACTTTTTCTCTCAACTTTTTTTTTCTTTTTCATATTTTGACAGCGATTTCTCATCACACCGACCCGACCAAAACTGCTTTCATCAGGGAGGAATTCAGGATGCACTAATTTCAGGACTAACAAATGGCGATAAAATATTTCATTTCTGTGATACTGCTTTCAAAAGATTTGCAAATCTAAAGGCCCACGCACATTAGATCCGGATCGGACGCGTTGCGGCAAAGTGACAGCTAAATCTATTGTCTAACTGTCTAATTTACGTCAACGCAACGCAAACGGATCTAATGTGGCTGGGCCTTAAGGCTGTGAACCATTTACCGAGTTAAATTTAACTCGTGGTTAAAAGTGACATTTCGAAAGTTATTTTCTATGTTCGAAAATCCCTGTGCTGTCAATCGACCGGTTTTCGAGCCACGGTTGTCAAAATTAAACTTCTTGTCTGTCAGAAATAACCCAGCTATGCTCGGATAGCAGGGTTAATCGATAACTTTCCATCTGTCAAATTTTAAACAAAAGTTAAAATAATCCACCAAATGGTTCAGAGCCTAAATAGAATTAAAAGTAACGCTATATTGCAACTCCCTATTAAAAATACCATACACGCTATTTGGAAACTACCCAAATTTGGGTAGAATCCACCCAGATCGGTCAAAACTGAACCTAACCAAAAATGGGTAAACTATGTTGGGAGTGACAAGTTAACAAATGAACAAAGTCGATCGGATTCATGTCAATGTTGGCCATTTGTGAAATTGTCACTGCCAACATAGTTTACCCATTTTTGGGTAGGTTCAGTTTTGACTGATCTGGGTGGATTCTACCCAAAGTTGGGTAGTTTTGGAATAGCGTGTAAACGAATGATAATCCAAATCATAGAACTGTTCCATAAATGGTTTAGATGATACCCGGAATACGTCGTTAAGCAAAATAACCATAACAATTTTATTAGAGCTCTCCTGACCAACGCCAAAACGTGCTCAACTTTTTGGCTCAGCTCTGGGGTCACATTGCGAATCTCGAAACGAAAGACTTTTTATACGAACGCTTGTATGAAAAAGTTTTTCGTTTCGAGATGCGCAATGTGGCCCGTGGTACTCTCTTGGGTCCCAAGCTAATCGATGCACCCCTCGAAACATAGGAAAATCCACGAACCCCTTATTTTATCTGCCAAACTTTCATAGCGAATCAAAACAAACATAGTGTGGTACTAGAATTTCGACTAGAATGGGTACGCTTATAGATTTACTTGGGACCAATAGGCTAGTCAATCAGTGAACCAATTTAAAATCGTTGGTTGCCACCTGAGTACTGCGAACTCAGCTGATTTTATTTTTCAAGTGAGCTAGAACACATCTTGAAAATCTTCCGAAGTTTCAAATTGTTTTGCTGAAACAGCTCACGAAATTGTATATACATGCTGTAAAATGAACCCTTAGCTCCTCCTCCTCTGCTCCAGAAATAACGTATACATGGTGATGGGAGTGCACCTGCCCACAAAGCTCACATGACTCTTTTAAAGTTTGATTACATTCTTGTTTCAGCAACCCAGTTTTGGCATTATTAAAATCAAATAAAAACACTTTTTCGAGCATCGCACTCGATGATTTACATTATCCGCCTACACAGCAAAAAAAATGTAATATCGATCAATTTAATTCAAGCTGATGTATGAAATAATGATGTAATAGCAAAAAGCAGATACAATCCCTAATAAACGTGTACCATATACTGACGATATCTTAGATGGTGCGACCATACCACATAAAATTGGGATGATATCCCAAATTGGTGGTTAGGCGCATCTTATGGTTATTGTTTATGCGGGATATTACATCAATGGATGTAATTTTGTTCGCAAAATCGATGTACATTGTACAACGTTATATTACACAACCAATGGATTGACCTGGTTACAGCAGTTTGGATGTAATATTCAACAACTTTTTTTTCTGTGTACTAAGGTTGATGTTTCGACAGTTTCATAATTATAATTCTTAATTTGTTTTCAGTAGGTGGCAACACCTTTACTTGTGGTTCAAACAGTAAATACCCATCGTGACTTCTGAGCTCTTTTGAATGTTTGGCTCCCGTTTGACAGTTTGACTCGGCTCCCAGATGACAAGCATTTTGAGTTAGTTCGCAGTACTCAGGTTGCTACCGGTTGGTACCATGGCTGAGCCAAAAAGTTGAGCACGTTTCTTCGGGACCTTCTGGGTCTTAGAGCCTCTATGATATTAGCTAGGTCAACCCAAACCCAAATTACCATACACGAACGAAAACTCAAATAATAGAACTATTCCATAAATGTTTTGGATGATACTCCGAACACGTCGTTATACCAACAATCAATACGAAACTAACGATTTTAAATTGGCTCACCACTTTAGTAGCCTATTGGTCCCAAGCAAACGATTAACGTACCCTATTCTAGTCGAAATTCTAGTACTACGCAATGTTTGTTTTGATTCGCTATGAAAGTTTGACAGATAAAATGAGGGGTTATTGGTTTTACCTATGTTTCGAGGGGTGATTCGACAAGCTTGGGACCGAAGATAGTACCAGAGGTGAGCCAAAAAGTTGAGCACGTTTCTTCGGGACCTACTTGTCTTAGAGTTACCTCTATGGTTATACCATAGAGGTAACTCTAAGACCACTGGGTCCCGAAGAAAATCATTATTATTTTTGGCTCAATCAGTACCAGAACAACGGTCCCAAGCAGTCCCAAGCTATTTCACTCACCCCTGCATGTTCTGCATGAATCCACACACCCCTGATGTTATCTGTCAAACTTTCATAGCGAATCAAAACAAACATAGTGTAGTAATAGAATTTTAACTAGAATGGGGTACGCCATAGAAGTACTTGGGACCAATAGGCTACTCAAGCAGTGAATAAATTTAAAATCGTTAGTTTCCACCCCCTGGTTATACCCCGTTCACATTACAGTCTATATCACGTAATATAGGCTGTCTTGCAATGAGCACTCATACAAAGGATTTCCAGTGAAAACTAGATGTATGAGTGCTCATTGCAAGACACCGTATATCACGTGATATACGCTGTAATGTGAACGGGGTATTAAGCAAAATATCCATAACAATTTTATTAGGGAAGTTATATCATAGAGGTAACTCTAAGACCACTGGGTCCCGAAGAAAATCATTATTATTTTTGGCTCACTCAGTACCAGAACAACGGTCCCAAGCAGTCCCAAGCTATTTCACTCACCCCTGCATGTTCTGCATGAATCCACACACCCCTGATGTTATCTGTCAAACTTTCATAGCGAATCAAAACAAACATAGTGTAGTAATAGAATTTCAACTAGAATAGGGTACGTTAATCGTTTGCTTGGGACCAATAGGCTACTAAAGTGGTGAGCCAATTTAAAATCGTTAGTTTCGTATTGATTGTTGGTTATATGGTTCGCGTTTATGCGGGTTAAAATCGCACGAAATATTTCAGCACGTTGAAAATTTTAACTGAATATCGCCCTTCATCATTGATTGTTGTGATGATGACAGCACACCATCATCAAACTGCTGATGGACGAACGAAAACTGTCAAACCTCGCAAAAAAAAGGAAAACCTTCGCAAGTCGCAAATTCTAAACGGGGCAGCTGGCTGTTGTTGACGATCGGATCGAAAATCCTTCCAAATAGGAGAATTTTCCTGCCCAAACCTCACTTCAGGACGGTGAAAAGCGTACTATTCACAGTCGGTGTGTTGTGAACCCATTCCCAATCGGTGGCCAGCTTCATTTTGTGGCCGATCAAATTAGAAATTCTGCTGGAACGGAGGCGAGAAAAGGTCGTCGTGGACAACCCAAAAAAGAATGTAAAATTCCTACTCTAGGCTTGTCGCAGTCATTTCCACGAGCGATCAAAATAATTGAACCAAGTGAGGGCATCGAAGAGCGCATTAGGGTAAGTGCAGAAAGATAGTTTTGATGAGCGGTGCTGTTCATCGCGTACGCCTAACAACATTGTGTAATTTTTTTATTGAATGTAGTTGTTTCAGCTGCTCGGCTGAAAGTGCAATCAATTGTTTTCCCCGTTCCAGACTATGCTCGTAGACAAAAAAGCAGAAACAAGTAAATTTTTATTTACCTAACTGGTATGCACTATGCTGCAAGTCAGCGGTCAACGGCAACGATTATTGCGTTTCATTGGTTTAGTTTGATTGATTAGGTTCCATCTGTTTTAGGTTTGAACATTTGGGAGGAAGCAGAAAGCAGACGAGATGTCGGTTACGTTTGAGCAGATCATCCTGGACGCCAAGAGGATTGCCAATCGTTTGAAGGATCGAGAGGCATTAGGGGACTCCTTGCTGCTAGAGTCGGAATCGGTTAACAAACAGATCGAATCAATGCGACAATTCCAAGATGATATCGATATATTGAACAAACTGGCCCGGGATCGCTCCAATAATCAGCTGATCACGATTATTCACCAGGAGAACCCCCAGATTCGCGAGATTCAACAGGAGAATCGTCTGCTGAAGGCGGAGTTGGAAGACTACCAGCATGCATTAGAGCACATCATGTCCAAGTATCGGGAGCATACACAGAGTAAGATTCTCAATACCAAGGTCAACTTTGTGGAAGCCTTTAGCAAACATCAACAGTTTAACGAGCGAAAGGACGAGGTTATCAGGCAACAGACGCAAAAGATTCAAGAAATGGCTGCCGTTATGCAGCGGGCCTCTCAACTTGACGAGGAACAGTTTAACCAAGAACAGGAGTTTCTGAGTAAACTGATGACGGAAAACAAGGTAATTCTGAATGTTATTTAAGGTTACCGAATGGATATCTACAGCAATAGCTACCGCTTATTTCAGGGCCTTCGTGAACTGCTGGAAATTTCCCACAAGTACGGCTCAAACGGTCAGAAGATCTTAGTCAACAGTAAGTCCACTCAAACCGACACTTATCTGCTGGATGGGCTGACTGCATCCTCTTCGAAAAGTGGAACGGGTAACGAACCATCGGCATCCAACACAGGCACAATTAAAGTCAGTCCATCGTCCTTGAAAATGGCCGCAGCGTCGTCGGCGTCGACTTCGGCATCACTCCTAACGGCAGGAACCCCAGCAGCGAGTGGCACAAGTACGACGGCCTCATCCCTATCGTGACGAGATTCCGACGATAGCCAAGTGTCCGTATTCTTCTGCTGCCAATCGGCTTTGCTGTAATGTAATACTTTTAATCGAAAACTCCCGGGAGAAAACAGAAAGTGAAACCGATAAAACCGAAGGGAAATTAACGCAACACAATTTTAAAAAATCATTCAACCATTGCAATCATCCATTCACCCTGAATTAATAAAACAAAATCGCACTCTTCAAAACCTACATACACACCCACACATACCTACATGTTATAACGAGCTGTTTCGTAGTTGAGTTGCAATAAATTCTAGTTATTTATAATAATCCACAACGGAGTAGTAGGCAACACCCATGCAATGCACCTACAATTGATTTTTGTTTTCAGAGGAAATCAATTAAAATGTATTAATTCATTGTATCACCTCATGACCATTTAGTACTAACTACCACTACAACAATAAAGTGATAAGTGTGAGTGGAGTGCGTCTACTCAACCAACACTGGCACTGTTACACATGAATTCGTCTCTTATTAGTTTGGTATGTTTTTGTGTCGATCTTTGTACTGTAATCGCTATTGAATTAATAAAATCATAGGTAGTAACTAGAGGAACTTAAAGATATCTGACTTATTTGTGAAATTATTGTATGTTTTTTTTTCGTTTCTTCTGTCGTGAGTGCTAATTCGTTCTAATGGTTTTGGTTCGACCTATTTAGGTTATTTTCACACTACGTCTAAATGTATGCCGTATGTTTGCTATGAACATAAAATACGGGCATAAATAGTGGGTGTTCGGGGTAAAAGTCTACATTTCTAGTTTCTAGTAATACACCCTGCGCTTTGGTCAGATAGCGTATAGGGCGTCGTTGTGCCATTTCGAGTATGAGAGAGTAATTGCAGTTTGCTCAAAAGTGCCTGAGTAAAATCGAAGACAACAAATCAAGAAGACTGGCAACTTTGCCAGAATCCAAGCGACAGATACAATGGCGCTACGCTTGAGTGAAGGTGGAAGCAACGCATAGAAAAATGAGCAAATACGCAAACCCTTATTCTGAGGATGTAATCTTTGCTATCAAATTCGTTCGAAGCATTTACCTTTGAGCGGCAGATGACGCGATTGTACCTGTCTCATAGGGTTCGTATGAGAAAATGGAAGAGTTGCCAGTCTTCTTGATTTGTTGTCTTCGGTAAAATGCAAGTACTTTCGATGATTACCCGTAGTTGTTACAGTGAAGATATCTAGACTAACATTTGAAAAGGGCGTAACTCCATAATGTAAACAAAATATTATGCCACATATAGAGAGAACAGTTCACAAGCTACTCGATAAACACGAAAAAGTAGAAGAAAATATCATTTCAAATCATCAAAAACGTTTCTTCTTACATGGCGTATTTCCAACTTTCAACTCTTTGATGCATCTGGTTGTTATGCCTTGCACCTGAACTACGAATTATATTGTTTCAGTATGCCAAACGTACGGATTTTGTAGTATCTAGCCACGCCCAATTCATTTGAAATGCATCCAATTGATCCAACGAACAAAAATAAGACCAAGAAATCTCCGGGCGTAATTCCATTCTCACAAAATTTGCGGAACAACAAACAAAAAATCCCGAGGGTGTATTTCCACGGCGTATCACCAGTATTGGCAGTTCAAAAGATGGAAGATCCGGGGGGTAACAAAATACACGGCGAATGAGAACGACCCAAATTTGAGTTTAGTTCACTCATAATCGCCAAAAGTGCAGGAACTCAGCGATGAGTAAATTTGTCTCATGTTTTCCCAGGTTCCTCCCTTAGCTCAGTCGGTAAAGGCGCAGCTACAAAGCAAGACCATGCTGGAGGTGGCTGGGTTCGATTCCCGGTCCGGTCTAGGAATTTTTCGGGTTGGAAAATTTCTCGACTTCCCTGGGCATAGAAGTATGATTGGACTTGCCACACAAATATACCAATGCAAAAATGGTACAGGCATCGAAAGCTCTCAATTAATAACACTGGAAGTGCATCTAGAACACTAAGTTGAGAGCACGCAATAAGCTAATATGCGATATGCAATAAGCTTGAAATGCGAAGAAGAAGAAGAAGAAGAGTGAACTAAACTCAAATTTGGGTCGTTCTCATTCGCCGTGTATAAGAAATTATGATGTTTTATTCTCAATTTCACGAAAAAGAAAACTTTTTTTGAGTTTTTAGTGATTTTTTTTTCTTTATTAGAGAGATTTTTAGCCATAGGCTAGTTTATCTCTGAGTTTTAAGTGATGCATGATGATAGATTTCACTATTAACTATATATCAAGCTTAAAAAATCATCCAGAAAATGGAAAGTCGTGAAATAGGATAAATTTTTAGGTCATCAAAATTCGGAAGCGATTTTCTCGATATTATGGTCATTTTGGAGCTACGCCCTTTTCAAATGTTAGTATAGATATACACCCATATTCTTGTATATATATTTTATGGCTGGACGTGTTTGTCATGCAGAAACATTTTTATTTGATTTTGTGTGGTGTGGGTGGGTTTCGGGCGTGGACGGGCATATGGGTGATAATATTAAGTTTACGTTAGGATAACGTTGAAAAATTGAGAAATGTATCGCTTCAGTTTGAGAAGCACTTCACTTCGCAACCGATGAACCATTCTGACGGCCCACATTACCGTGCAGACGCCGTGTGTTGGCAGGGTCCAATATTGGTCAGTTTGATGTTTATAAAGTACCATCAGTTAAAACTGTATTTTTAGCTTTATCTCTATACATTCTTAGGTGTTTCTTAGAAGATTATCATGTTGGTGTACGCTGATTCAAAGAGTAAATCAAGCGTAACTATTCAAATCGACGTATCTGATTTTGTAAACAATCACTTCAATCGACGATTTGCGGCAACTGTTAGCTCACTCACAGAAACTAACAACACCAGCTAGTAGAAGAAAGATTCCCCTACCTGATGATGGGGTTTGTTTGCGTGGGTGAGTTGGCAGTTAAGATAAATCGTCGATTGAAGTGATTGTTTACAAAAGCAGATACGTCGATTTGAATAGGTACGCTTGAAATGGTATTAACATTGAGCTGTCCATAGTTGGGCGTTGTTGAACAACATTTCATGTGAGTATGGTAGAGCGCTACTTCGTCGTAATCGCCCATTTCCGTTCTATCGATCAGAAAAGATCAATAATATCAATGATTTCACCGTGCACAAATGAATAATAGGTTTGTTCCGATGCGTTAGTTTATTAGCTACAACATAAATCCTGTTAGAGCGCATTATATGAATATTTACGCTCATTGTTCTCAAAACAAAAGAAGCGCTCCTAGCGAATCCCCTTTTTCTACGTTTATCCGTAGGACGAAGAAAATCTAATGGCGTTTCAATGCGTAAGGACGGAATTGAAACTCGTAGAACGAATTTAGAATCAAGAAGCAGCGTTAGATTTTAGAAAATATCTCAACAATTTGTGACTCTTTATCAAATCCAATGCTATTTCAATTTGTCAGTGTACCACATGGCAACACCACTACTACTAGATTGTACCACATGGCAACACTACTACTGGATTGTACTAGCATTTTCACCAAATGTATTAGAATGTTTTGGTTCTATCTCTTTCACTCTACTCAAAACTGAAATGCATAAAAAAATGACAAAATGATACGCACTCTTTGCACACTGTCAAAGAATCATTGTACACAAAATAAACTTTGTTCAAATCAAAACAAAAAAACTAACCCATCTGGTGGATGATGGCACAAGCTTCCAAGAAAATTCTATTACAGTGAGCCACATTATTTAAATGGATTTCTTCGCCAGTTAGTCGTCTGTCACTTCGTTTGTGATAGAACCGCTCCGTCTGTCACTTCGTTTGTGGTATTATCAACAATCAATACGAAACTAACGATTTTAAATTGGCTCACCACTTTAGTAGCCTATTGGTCCCAAGCAAACGATTAACGTACCCTATTCTAGTTGAAATTCTATTACTACACTATGTTTGTTTTGATTCGCTATGAAAGTTTGACAGATAACATCAGAGGTGTGTGGATTCATGCAGAACATGCAGGGGTGAGTGAAATAGCTTGGGACTGCTTGGGACCGTTGTTCTGGTACTGAGTGAGCCAAAAATAATAATGATTTTCTTCGGGACCCAGTGGTCTTAGAGTTACCTCTATGGTATTATCATAGAGGTAACTCTAAGGCCACGGCCAGGGTAGACGCGACACGCGACGCGACGCGATGCGACTCACGCAAGGAATAATAATAAATAATAAGATTCTTTTGAATTGGTCGCGTCGCGTCGCGAATCGCGTCTACCCTGCCCGTACCCTAAGACCAGAAGGTCCCGAAGAAACGAGCTTAACTTTTTTGCTCAGCTCTGGTACTATCTTCGGTCCCAAGCTAATCGATTCACCCCTCGAAACATAGGAAAATTCACTAACCCCTCATTTTATCTGTCAAACTTTCATAGCGAATCAAAACAAACATAGTGTAGTACTGGAATTTATACTAGAATGGGGTACGTTAGTCGATTTGCTTGGGACCAATAGGCTAGTCAAGTAGTGAGCCAATTTAAAATCGTTAGTTTCGTATTGATTGTTGGTATTATCAACCGGTGGAAACTAACGATTTTAAATTAGCTCACTACTTGACTATCCTATTGTGTGTGTGTGTGTGTGTCATCCTCTATCCCTCACCCAGCCGGGGGCGTTTGACAAGTAGAACTGCGAATAATTTGATCAAATCTCATGCTCCGTAATGGTGCCCTTTATGTTGTGAAGACTAGTACTACAATATCAACTTAGTGATATGGCGAACAAAGTAGTGTTTTTGTTGAGTTGTGCTGTGGAAATAAATACATAATTTCGTGTGAAATAGTGCCGTGTGCCGCGAAAGGATCATCCCAACGCGTGCCCGTTGTGTTGTTTTTAACAGGATAAGTAGAGAACGGTTGCCTAGCAACTCGTTTTGGATTTAATTTTGATTTTCCCCCCAGCGCGCTATTGATTTTGTATAGTGAGCTGCGGCGGTAAAATTTTATTTTGTGTTCTCTTCCCCTGTATATGTCTACTGCTAACAGTGTGCGCGTTTAATTTGGCGTGGTAATATGGATGTGTGTAATGTCTGCAAGGAGTCTATTACTATTAGTGGGCTCCCAGTCACATGTGTAGGTCCGTGCAATGGAATGTTCCACTTCAATTGTGCGGCACTCACTAAGACTGCGGCGCGCCTAATAGCAGATAATGCAAATGTTGTTTTCAAATGTGGTAACTGTCTATCAGGTCAGTGTTGTGGCGAGCAGAATGATCTGATCTCGCGCGTCAATAGGATAGAAGAAGAGATGAAGAAAGTTTTTCAACTCTCGGACTCTATCACTGGCATACGAGATCACATTGCTGCTCAGATAGACATCGCGGTTAAAAGCGGGATGGCAGATATAAGCCGAAATGTAAATGGTTTTGAAAATTTAATTTGTGAGAAATTGGATAATATGAAAAGTTCATTTTTTAAAATTGATGCGGAAAACAAATTAGCGGTAATGAATGATCAGTGCAGTGTATCTAGGACGATTCAGTCGGAATCGGACCAAAATACCAGACGCAAAAA